CCGAGAGCAACATGACTCGGTAATATGCAACTGCTGTCTTGTAAATCGAAAGTCGAACAGCCGCTGTGAATGTTAACCGATTGGTGGGAAGAAGCATATTACAATGAACAAGGCGAGAATAAAGAAATGTCTACTGTCATTTGTGATACCTGAAGAAAACCAGTATTATTCAGTCGAAACATTCTATTCTGTAATACCCATCGCGCTAAACGTTACTGAAAGACATGTGGATCTTACATTAACACTGAACACACACTGACATTGATCTGTCCGGCGTTGACCAGTGAAAAGGTCTGAACGGCATTATCATGCCAATATGTACATTTGCATTTACGCGCATATTTTTCTACAGAGTATTTACCTCAGGGAATATTAATTTAATTCAATTTAATCAACGGCGGAAAATCTATTATCATAAGTACTTGGATATCAGCATCAATACATTGGATTATAAATAATCACTGAACGCTTTCATGTCAGAAGGAAACTTTCAATGAAGATGGCTTTGAAAAACAATCCTTACACTCAGCAGCTGAAAATGATGTCCGGTGCAAAGACCAGTGGCATGCTGTAAAAATCATTCACCATATTCATGGCCCTTAAGCAAAGCAATCGTGATTTTGCTTAGAAAGTTCTCGACAGCATGTTATTAACTGCACATTTCTAAAATCGGTCTTTTAACTAAAAACTTTCCTTTAAAGCAACGATACACCGCAAACAACGAAGGATACAAGGCAGAGCAGATGAACGGAAAGTTACTCAGGTCCATTACTCACATACTATATTAGACTACAAATTAGTAGACTTGCAGGGGTTGCTCGCTTTTCGATTGGTTTACAATTATTACTTTAGTGTACTTTATTAACTAAACAATTTCAAACCAGTCTGAGTCACCTAATTTGACGCAATAGTTTGATTACTCTTATCTTTTTCATGGCTCATTTGCTCTGTGAAAATTATCTAAAATTTAGAAACTTTATATAAGTATATGGTTCTTTAAATTTCGATCCATGGTTCAAGACAACAGTTTATGCGGGAAAATGAAATTTTCATTAACCACCAAAGCGTTTCGACGTAGCACACCAGTATTCTTTAGATTTTAGTTTCTGAGTCACACTACTGAGGTATTTATTAATACTATAATTATGTGGTTAGTTGTAATATAGCAAGCAGTGATGAACTAATTAGTCAATTTTAAGAACTCTACAGGGGCATCAGTACAAAAGATTTGTCCCCAGAACAATGCATTCGATGCATATGTTGTCCATTTACTGGCATAACATAAGTTTTTAATACCGTCTCGAAATTCGTTTCAGCAAGGAATCCAGCCGAAAAACACGTAAAATCGATGACAGCGATACGCATCGTTCTCTTAAAACGCTCGCCTTGCAGGAATTTATATTCCACCCGATCGCCACAGGCAAATATTACTACACTAGATGCGAGCAAATTGCGTGGAGTCGATGAATGGTGTAACTTGATCATGGCAAGTAGCCGTGTAACACTTCTCCGTGCATGAATGGCACGACAGGACGTTCAGTGCCACCACTTCTAAAAGGCCTGGAACATGACGTATCTTAGTGATTCATCTCTGCTAGATTATGACAATTTCGATCTCATTATGTTCTGACATTATGTTGGACGACACTGGCGGAACAGAGCAGCGCCATATTGGAAATGCTCTGCTGGATATACAGTGTTTAGTTCTAACATCCAACGAAGATCAATAGAGAGGCCAGCTTGACGTTATTTAGATCTATACAGCGATATTGTTGTTGGCACAATGTGTGCAGTGTTTCGTAAAGTTGTTGCCGGGAACTCGTATGTTGTCACTTTGAAATGGCAACTAATCTTCGACATTGTGATGATATGATCTTTGGACCGAGCAGATCACTCGACGGACCGCTGCACTCTATTCAGAGGGACACTGAATGTCTTAGTTTAGGCGATGCACATGTTCAGGATTTTCTACTTACAGACTACTCAAGTTGAAGCTGGAGAGCATTTTCGTTTCATTACTTGTTATCATTCGTAACATATTTTCAGTACTTCCGTTCTTACTCAACATGAGTCGAAATTTTTCATTCAGCGACCAAACATGCAGAATAGATGATCGTACCTTCTTGAAAGATTGCCATAGAACACAGTCTTTGACTCCCTCCGTCGCAAATCATATCTGAAGTATCGCTGTAATGAGCAGCAGTACTTTAGAAGGCATGATAAACTCTGATTATGTTACTCCGGTTAACCGAACTACTTAGTCGAACAACTCAGCCATTTCCGGATTCAGTATCGCCATTGACGGTTAACGTAACAGTTTCGGACCAAATGTCACTGTTCAGAATGATAATCCGTCCAAACCGGTAAAGATTGCAACAAATTTGCTTTTCAGTCACGACTGGTGGCTTTTATCGCATTACTGCCTAAGTTTTAGGTCACATAAAACCCAAGGCGGAAACTTGAACATGCAGGCAGTAATGTTAAGTCTTAGATATAAGAGTAAGCTCAGTAGTAATTCGATAAACCAGTCGCATCGCCGGCTAAGATTAAACCGTAAATCGGTTTCCGTCCATACCTGGAATGGGAAGACTGCCACTCTCGACTGCATACACGCTGAAGTACTTCGTTCGATTACGTGATTCGGTAATTTATCGGCCGGTCACATCGACAGGAGACTGAGACAGCATTACGTACACAAATAGACGTGGAACAGATAAATGGCAGAACAGCGCTGTGCGCCGGACCTCTCCTATTGTTCTCGATATGTTCATGGAGGCTGTATCAGCATTTTGTGCTTGTCATCCTTCCGCATAAGCAGAGCATCTTTTGTTCGTAATGACCATTGTATGAGCAACTTTGCTAAACTTATGCTATGAGGTACTAGTTATTGCACCTCTCTGAAAGTAGATCTGCCTCTATCTTTCTCCTGCATGTTGCGTTCTGGCCTCCTGGTCGGTGTCTGTCGTGTTTAAACGCCCATGTTAAACCCATGGACTGGAGTAAATGGTTTATGCTCAGCCACTTTGTCTAGCAGGGCCAACTTTCTTGTCTTAATCTCCACACTTACCATGGTCACCTGTACTGGGAACAGAACAGAGTCATTCCTTAGGCGGATCTGTCATTTAAGACTGAATATGACTCGAAGCTAAGCAACTACACGCAGCTAAGCAACAGTTGCAGTGCAGCTTAACCAACCTGATGGTTGATCCTTCTACAGTAGGGTACGTAATTCGCTGATTCGCGTTAATATTTTATTGTCCAAATCGTGTGGCGTGTAGATTCTGTTCGACGTCGCTGATATATGTTATCCAAGTCTATACCAAGGTTTAATCAAA